CCTAGCCACACACACACACTCACACACACACAAGTGCACACACAGAGAACTCCCCAAATGATTAATCATTAGGGAGATGAAAACTGAATTTGACAATAAAGTACTACTTTACATCTATTATTTAAAAAATGAAAATAAGGGCTAGGAATATAGCTCAGGGGCACAAGTGCCTGCCTCGCTAGCACAAGGTCCTGTGTTCAATCCTTGGTACCAAAAAAAGAAAGAAGAAAGAAAGAAAGAAAGAAAGAAAGAAAGAAAGAAAGAAAGAAAGAAAGAAAGAAAGAAAGAAAATAAATTAACTGGCTGAAAAAAACAACTCCAACAAAAATACTGTGTTGGGCTGGCCACATAGTTTAGCGGATTAAAGCACCTTGTTAGGCAGATGCAGGGACCAGGGGTTTGATCCCTGACATGCCATGCCAGCCGTGCCCCCAGGGCCCCTGAGATAGCAAATGAGACTGGGTGTGGTGGCGCACACCTGTAATCCCAGTGCTTGGGAGGCTGAAAACAGGAGGATTACAAGTCTGATCTGTATAGTAAGACCATGTAGATCCTCTACTAAATACATAAAAATACTATCTGTTGATAAGAACATAGAGAAAGTAGAACCTTAAATCCACTGTTGATGGTAATATAAAGTACTGCAACTGCTATAAGGGACTAATTCCTCAAAAAGTATAGCATAGCCTTACTGTACGACCTAGCAGTTCTACTCCTGGATGTAGAGCCAAAACATTGAAAGCAGGATCTGAGATATTTGTGTGCCTGTGTTCATAGCTGCATTATTCATAATAACCAAAACGAGGAAACAACACAAGTGCTCATGAACAAATGACTATATTATATGTAAAATGGATTATTCAAACTTAAAAAGAAATTGTAACACATGAATATGAACATTGAGACTGAAATAAATGTGTCACAGACAAACACTGCATGGTTCCACTTACACGGGATACCTAGAACAGTCAAATTCATAGTGACAGGGCAAGAGAGACTCCTTTTTTTTTTTTTTTTTGGTAAATCTTTTAAAAGGAAGTCTTTCAAGTCTATTTAAACTGTAGGTGAACTCCTCACCCCTTGCCCTCCTAGGTAATCATAAAACTATAAAAGTAGAAACAGAACTGAGAAACAGGCTAAATGTTAAACCATAATGGCTACCTGACTGCCAGGTGGTCATTTCTGGGAAATGTAAACCTTGTGACAATTATGTACTATTCCTGTAAAATTCCACAAAATGAGATAAAGATGTGTTTACCAGACATCTAAAGGATATTTAAGATGTGTTTGATGTCTACTCAGTGCCAATATTGTTCCTGGCTTTTTTTTTTTTTTTTTTTTGTGGAACCGGGGATTGAACTCCGGCCCTTGCACTTGCCAGGCAAGCGCTTGTTCCAGGCATTTTCGTCAGAGGGCAGGCTTTTTTAATAAGTTTGTTTGTATATATGAGTACATTTCTCCTTGAACCTGCCATAACATTTTGGAGACCCCAGCAAGATCACCTCACGAAGAAGACTCTTGCGTGGGGGACCCTGTGCTCCAAGTCTCATTGGTCACTCTTCAGGTGGCAGGAGGTCCCAGGTGATTTCACCTGGCCACCTGGGGATGAGTGTGGGGCGGGATGCTGTAGCTGCAAAACAGGACAACCTAGCTCTGCTGTCTAACCTAGGTAAACAAATTGGATTCCTTTATTTGCCTTTGATTTCATTTAGAAACTTTTTTTCTTCTTTCCAGACTGACATTTTGATGGACCTGGCCTCCCACACATGGAAGCCATTTGATCTTGGCACAGCTGAGAATTTGTATCACAGTGTCTCTGAATTTGGTCAGTTCTGGTGTCTAAAGTATTTCAAATTGATGACTGGAGATTGATAGTTCCTGGGATTATTTTGTCTCTATGTTGTTTCTCCAATGTGCCCATACTTTGAGATTATGCTTGAATTCATCATCTGGGAGGATTGGTGGCAGTTTCGCTTCTGCCCTTCTTGTCTCTCTACATCATCTATCTATAGGATCAGAGACATCCAGATTTGGCCAACTGCTTCACACCGCCATGACTACAGCTATTAAATAGGGCTCTAGCCAGCTGTCATGGATGCACCCAGCAGCAAGACAATCATGCTGGATTGCATGATCAAGAACTTTGATAAATTCAAGGGGAATTATGGGGTGAAAATAAAGGGAAGTTTTGCACACTGTGTGAATTAGAGTGGCCCTCTTTTGATGTGGGCTGGCTGCCAAAGGGGATGAGATTCTCACATAGCCCCCAACTGTAGGATGCAGTCACAGGGAAACTGGGGCATCTGAATCAGTTTCCTTATAGATTCCTGGCTGCAGGGTCGGCGAGACAGCTCAGTGGACTAAGTGCCTCCTCAGGCAAGCACAGGAGCCCACGTTCCATCCCACCACCACATGTTTGGGCATGGTACTACACACCTATAATCCCAGCACTGGGGAGGCTGAAAACAGGAGGATCACTACATCCAACCTGCATAGTGAGACTCCATATCAAATACTTTTTTTTGCGGAACCGGGGATTAAACTCAGACATTTGCACTTGCCAGGCAAGTGCTTATTCTACTGAGCCATCTCCTCAACCCCATCAAATACATTAAAAAAAATTCTGGCTGCTTGCAGTTTGAACATTACCTCAGTGGATTAGGATGTGTGTCTGTGGGTTTCTCAATCATACCCTGATAATCAAGGAGATCCCTAAATCAGAAGCCCCACCTGCCATTGGCACCAGAGGAAAACATTCCTTTTTTCCTGGCTCCACCACCCCTACCTTGATCCTTCTACCACACTCACTGCTCACCCTGCCTCTCCAATACCTCAGCAGGTGATCCCTTCTCGGTGCCACAGCCAAGTGGAAAATGCTGCCATGGCCCTGACTCAGCAGCTCCTCGTTCCTCTAATCATCGTAGGTAGCCTTCTCTTGGGTCCGTAGTTGACTTGGACGAAGAAGTCTCCTCAGGTCTGGTCCATTTTACCCCTCCAGCCGGCTGCTGTGATGGGATTTGATTGTAGCCCTCAATGTACCCTGGTGTATGTCCCATTCACCACCAGTGATTTCAGAACTCAGAAACCCCTTTTCAGAACCCTGGACCCTAATTACGTTGCTCAATTCAGTAGGTTTTTAAAATGTACTTTAGTACAGGGTCTACAGGGCTTCACTACATAGATCAGACTGGTAGTGATTCTCCTGTTTTCAGCCTCCCAAGGCACACGCCACCGTGCCCAGTCTCAATCGCTGTTTCAGCATGCCCAGGGGCAGGGCCAGCACAGCATGCCAAGGATCAAACCCTGCCTACTGTGCTCTGCCTAAGCAGATGCTTTAATCTGCTGAGCTATCTAGCTGGCCCTTCGATTCCGTGTTTAAAACTCACCATCACACCTTGGATCACTGTCAACAGATTATGCTAACCTTGTAGACTTTGGAGGAGAGGGACAGAATTGGGAAGGCAGAGAAAGAATAAGTAAGGACAAACATGAGGAAGTGTACAGGATAGAGGCAGCAGCTCACAGTTTAGTGCTGAGACACTCCTAACTGGGATTACAACACTGATGAGGGACTAAATTACTTAAAGGAACATCACAGCACTCTTAAGGGGTGTCTTTCTGCTCCTCATTTTTCCACTAACTTACATGTGGTAGTAGAAGTATATCAGGGGGGGCTGGTGAGATGGCTCAGTGGTCTAAAGCACCTACTTAGAACAAGCTTTAGCAAAACCCAGGGACCACAGTTCGATCCCCCAGCACCACATGCCAGCCAGCCCCCCCCCCTGGTGGGCTGAGCTGGCCACACACACACACACACACACACACACACACAAATAAATAAAAAATAAAAAAAATAAAAAATAAAAAAATTGTTTCTTAAAAAAAAAAAGTATATCAGGGATTGACTGAAGCTTCACTGCATTTTTCAAGCACCTCGTGGAAGCTTTGCAGACGTATACACTACATGGCCAAGATTCACCTGAGAATGCTCATCAATATGGTTTTCATTGTTCAGCTGACCCCTGCTATCCAGTGAAAAATGTGGAAGGTTAGATTTTGCAGCAATGAAGTCCCAGTTGATAGAAATTATACAGAAAGTGTTTCATAACAGAGAAGATGCAGAATGGAAACTTAAGCAAGAAAAGAGAAGGTAATGATGGCAGCTTATAGGAGGGAGGTCCGGTCAAGAGCTAGGAAGAAGAGGAAAAAGGCAAACAGGGAAAAAGTTGTCATACTCCCCTAGGTGTATGTAGGACACTGTAGACCAGTGTCCCTATTGCGATTTCCAATAGTAGTGCCCAAAGTTGTTGAAAAAAGAGAAAAGAGGAAAAAAAAAAGTGTTTGTGATGGAATCAGAGGAAGTCTCAAGACTGATGGGATCAGGAATCTGTCTCTCAGCCTTGGGGAACCCTTGTTAACCACCAACATGGGGGAAAACCTGTTAAGATTTTTGATAGGTACAGGTGTGGATCTGTTACTAGTTACTCAGCCAGTAGCTCCACTTTTGGGACAGAAGTACATGTTCAAGTGGCAACAGGTCAGACTTCAACCTATTCTTTTTATGAGCCACAATAGGCTCAGCTTGGGTGACATGTAGTTAGCCAATCCCTTCTACTTATGCCTGATTGTCCCTTCCCCTTCCTGGGCCAAGATCTTCACAAACCTAGGGCTTCAATTTCTTTTACTTCTGAGGAAACTCTTTTTAACCACAGGAGAATCCTCTCCCCAGGCTGATGTGTTAACTGTTACCTTGCCTACATAGGAGGAGTATCACCTCTTAAGATTTTTTTTTTTTTTGCATTTGTACAGGGGATCCAGGGTCTCTCTACCTAGATCGGATGTGTAACAATCCTGTTTGCAGCCTCCCAAGTGCTAGGATTACAGGCGTGTGACACCATGCAGTCTCAATCACCGTCTCAGCACACCCCAGGGGCAGGGCTGGCTTGGCACACCAGGGATTGAACCCCGGCTGCTACAGTCTGCCTAAACAGGCACTTTAGTCTGCTGAGCAATCAAGCCAGCCCACCTCCTAGATTCTACTAATGCAGCACAATCTGCTCTCCTTCCCTGGACTGAATGTTTTCCAAAAGTTTGGGCAGAAGATAATCCCCCTAGTCTGGCAATTTATGTAACCCCAGTGACAGTAGTGTTAATGGGACATACAAGGCTGGTCCACTTAATACCCAACAGCTGTGACAGCTAGAAAAGGAATTAAACCACATATTCAGAGATTGCTCGAGGCAGGTATACTGAGCTCAGCAGACTAAGCGCCTGCTTTGGCAAGTGCAGATACCAGGGTTTGATCCCCAGCACCACACGCTGTGCTGGTCCTGCCCCCAGGCGTGCTGAGCTGGGCATGGTGATACATGCCTGTAATTCCAGGCATGGGGAGGCTGAAAACAGGAGGATCACTATGAGTCTGAGCTGTGTAGTGAGACCTGTACCAAATACATAAATGAAAAAGAAAAAAAAAAGTCCCCTCGGAATACACCATTCTTCCTGGTTCACAAACCAGGGACAAATGCGTATGCCCCATCCTGGATCTTTGGGAGGTAAATGCTTTGGTTGCAATTCTCTACCCCACTGTACCCAACCCCTATACCTTGCTCAGTTTGCTTCCACCTACCAGAACTTGGCATACTGTGCTGGATTTGAAAGATGCTTTCTTCTGCATCCCCTTATCTGTAGCGTCCCAGGGATTGTTTGCTTTTAAATGAGACGATCTAGAGGGGGTAAGGAATATCAACTAACCTTGATGAGGCTTCCTCAGACATTTTAGAACTCCTTAACAATATTTGGGGAAGCCCTGTCCAAAGATTTGCTGCCCTTTGGTGAAGGGAACCCTGAGATATCTCTTATAGTACGTTGATAATCTGATCATAGCAGCTAGGACTCAGAACCTGTATCAAGAAGGAACAGAGAGGGGCTGGTGAGATGGCTCAGTGGTCTAAAGCACCTATGTAGAACAAACTTAAGCTAAGCAAAGCACAGGGACCGCGGTTCAATCCCCCAGCACCACATGCCAGCCAGCCCCGCCCCCTGGTGGGCTGAGCTGGCCACACACACACAAATAAATAAAAATTTAAAAAAAAACAAAAACAACCAGACATCTGGGGTCTTAGGCCCCCCCCCCAAAAAAAAAGAAGAAACAGACTGCTGGGTTTGTTGAAGAAAAGGAGCATCAAGTACCAATAAATAAATAGGCTGAAATATGTATGCAAACTGTATAATTCTTTGGGTTTGTGCTAAAAGGAGGGACTCGCTTACTGTCTACTTTCCATATCCAGGTGTCTTAATTACCAGGTCATCCAGGACTTAAAAGAATCCTTACCTAAAGAAAAAAAAAAAAAAAAGATGGGG